GTCCAGCAGCAGAGGGATTGGGGCTGCCTCACTTTGGGGGATGAGACAGGGGACCCCAGTGCCTGCAGCCCCCCAGAGCCCCAGCCCCCAGGCTGCCAGGGGGGCCTGCTAAAGCCAGGCAGGATCCATCCCGCTGGCACTGAGTCCTCATAGCACCCCAGTCCTGTCCACCGTGCCCAGCAGTGATGACCTGGGGAGGGGGACATGCGCATCACACGGTGCGATACCCGCCTGTCCCCACCCAAGGGCCCCTGCTGGACCCTGGGAACCCGACTTCAGCCTTGTTTAGTCTGAGGAGGAGTGCGGGCGACCTTCAGCTCCTCTGAGCACCCACCAGGGTAAACAGCTCATCTCGGGCCCTGCAGCAAGGACACGCAGGGGCCAGGCTGCCAGCAGCGCTGCGGGGGGGCCAGGGAGGCTTTTGGGGACACCCCAGTCCTCTAACCACCAAGAGGGTGGCTGCCAGCAGAGGGGGCAGCAGGGTTCCCCCCCAGGGACTCAGGGCGATGGGTCCCTGCAGGTGTGGGTGGGTGCTCTGGGGGTGCATCCCCCCCGCCTGCGCTGCGCCAGCTCCCCGCTTACACCCCTGCCTACTCAGGTGGCACCCGTGGGGGGGGTGGGACTGCTCCCTCATCTGCTCCAGCACAGAGTCCCCCTGCCCTGCTCCCTCCAAGCCCAGCTCCAGGCCTTCCAGGGCCCTCTCTATGTCCACCCCCCACCCCACACACCCCCACCCCATGGAGGGGGCCCTGACGCCTGGGCTCCCTGCTGCCTGCGTGGGCCAGGACACAGAGGGTGAGCAGATGGGACAAGGGCGACCACCCGGGCGCCTGGGTCACCCCTGCAGGCAAGGGGGTGGAGGGGTGAGTGCTGACTGCCTTGATCAGGGGGCTGAGGCCCCCACCTGCACCCCACAGCGGAGAGGGGTGGGGGGATGCCGGGGTGCTGCCTGTGCAGGGACATGTCCCCAGACACAGACAGACACGTGCACACACACACATGCTGCCTGTAGGGCCCCCCCCGACACCCCTGGCAGGGACCACCCACGCACACCCATGCACACCCGCAGCCTCCTTGCACACCCCAGCATGGGGACCACACACACGCACACATGGATGAGGCAGCCAGAAGAACAGCCGGAGACAGACAGACAGGCGGATGTACGCACGCCTGGGCTGTGCGCACACACGTACACAGACACAAACACACCTGGGTGTGCACGGAGGCACGCACGGGCCTGTGGCACCTTGCACGCGGGTGCACACGCCTGTGTACTCATGCACACGCAGACGCACAGATGGCTGCATGCCCACGCACACAGGGACGGGCATGCACGGTGTACCCCTGCGCACACATGGGTGTACCCCTGCACACGCACGGGTGTACCCCTGCACACGCATGGGTGTACCCCTGCACATGCACGGGTGTACTCCTGCGCACACACGGGTGTACTCATGCATGCACAGGGACACACACACATGTGCACACATACACACACAGAAACACACACACGTGTGTCCACCTGCACACATAGATGTGCCCACACATGTGTACCCCTGCACACGCAGGCACACACACATGGGTGTACCCCTCCCTGCACAAACATGGGTGTACCCATGCGCACAGGGATGTGCACACACGTGCGCACACATGCACACACAGAAGCACACACAAGGATGTACCCCTGCACGCACATGGGTGTACCCCTGCTCACAGGGACATGCACATGCATGTGCATGCACAGAAGCACACACAGGGGTGTACCCCTGCCCACGCACGGGTGTACCCCTGCACGCACACGGGTGTACCCCTGCTCACAGGGACACACATGTGTGTGCACACACAGAAGCACACACAGGGATGTGCCCCTGCCCACACACGGGAGTACCCCTGCTCACAGGGACACGCACACGTGTGTGCACACATGCAGAGGGACGCAGAGGGGCTCACACGGGGACCAGGGGCCCCCATCTGGGACCAGTCCCCTGCACCGTGCCCCCTCCCTGCCCTGAGCCCCCCCACCTCGGGCTGTGCCT